AACAAAAACAATAAAATCATGGATTACAAAAAAATCGATCAAGTATTACAAAAAAATCTATCATGGATTACCAAAAAAAAATAAATAAATAAATAAAATAAAAATAAAAATAAAAAAATAAAAAATAAAAAATAAAAAATTCCGTACGGACTCGCCGATTCACTGTTCGGACTCGCCGATTCCGTACAGTGAATCGGCGATTCACTGTACAGAATCGTCCGGTTCTCTCTAGAACCGGACGATTTCCGATTTTTTAAGCGATCCGGTCCCCTTTTCACTATTTCCGAGTCGAATCGGGCGAGTCCGGTTCGACTCGACGTTTTTTAAAACGCTGTGTCAAACATTAATTTTTGAACGGTTTTCAACCAAAGCACCCCTTGGTGGTTTGACCGGTCACGGTCCAATCTTGATAATTATGGTACAAAGTACCGATCTTGATCAACAATTCGGATGGACTAAATCATCAAAATTAGTCAAAAAGCTATTATAATAATAGTATAGGGCGATTCTAGGAGGAAGGGACTCCGATTGCTCCTACCATTGATTTCAATCCAGTTCAGCAATTCTCAATCCAGATCACTAGATTTTAAAATCCTGGTCCAAACCTCATGGAACGTCTATCCTATTTTTAAAAATAACAATATCCATGAGCTTATTTGCGTCATATCTAGTTGATATTTGGATCAGGAGACTGATAAATTTCGTAAATCTCTAAGTCCCCCTAAAAAATTGTTTCCTTAAGTTGTGTATGAAACCATCTACTAGGGACCACCTAAGTGGCATAAAAAAAATTCCAAGATCTATCAATACAAAAAACTACTAAGACATATGAGCAATTTTCATCATTTTTATCCATTTTCAAGTTGATAATTGTCGCATACAAGGCCACATTACCTAGACGCCAAGAGTAGTTTATCAAATACATGTCTAAATGTCCAGCACTTCAGCCTAGAATTTATATTTATTGCACTCAATATGTGGTTATCATCCCAATTATCAAGCACGGACGGAACAAGTGGTATGATTAGTTGGACCGCTGCCTAATGCCTTAGCCGGTTTAGTCCATAGTAATAACCGATTTTAGTAAAAAGTTTGTTGAAACTAGTGTTTAGCTAGTTTTGATCGATCTAGCAGGTTGGTTTTTACAAGTTCGACCGGCCAAACAAAGTTGGGCAACACCGTTTTTAATATATTACGTACTTTTAAAATGTTATATTTGTATTTTTTTTACATATTAGAATTCAATCAAACATGTTCAATTGGCAGTCAAACCGGTTTTGATTAGACCAATCCCCTCATTAGTTAGATGACCAATTATTATCCGCCAACATTGGTTAGCATAGCAGTAGATCACATGGTTTTCAGCACACTTTGGATTCAAATCCCAGTCTTGAGCTCTGCTACTTTTTAAATTCCCCTCATTTCCGAAGTGTCCCAGTCGAAGTGTCATGATGCAGCGACTAAAATGGAGTGTCCGGGTCATAACAATCCAAGGTTCAAATCCTTGGTTAATTTTTGTGCCAGACAAGGGCTTTCCATGTAATCAAAATCACCTTTCTGCTCACCCTTGCTAATTCAACACCTGAATTGCAAAGGTCGCTTTAAAACCAACCAAAAAATAATGATCAACTCACTGAGTTTCCTCCGAACTCTGCAAAAGAAGATCAAGTTCAGGCACATAACCCTCAACTTTCAACTGTTTCGTGATACCTCGCAACAAATCATATATCTCTTCCGACTGTGGGTGCTTCGAATCCTCCACGACAAACCTATGCACAATGCCACAAATCTCAACCCAACTACATCCAGCCGGCTTCCTCAATCTCTTATCCTTTATAAGCCTCCTCACTCTGGCAACCTCATCCCACATACCAGCACTTGCATATACATTTGATAACAAGATGCAGCTTCCCAAATGTGGGGTTTCTGATAACATAAGAATTTGGCCAATTTCGCTGGCAAATTTGACGTTGCAATGAGTTCTGCATGAACTTAGTAGAGCAGCCCATATAGCCGGGTCAGGTTTAAATGGCATGTCTCGAACAAGCATAAAGGCCTCATCTAGAAAGCCAGCTCGACCTAAAAGATCAACCATGCAAGCATAGTGCTCGGCATTGGGGCTTAAGTTGTACTGGGAAACCATCTCCTGAAAGATATATCGACCCTCATCTACCAAGCCTGAGTGGCTACACCCAGATAACGCCCCGAGAAATGTAACATCATTAGGCCTCACACCAGCTTTCCTCATATTCGTAAACACCACGAGTGCCTCTTTGCCGAGTCCATTCATTGACAGCCCCACGATCATTGCATTCCACGAGACCACATCTCTTTTTGGCATCTTAAAAAAGACCAAACAAGCGCTTTCTATAGACCCACATTTTGCATACATATCGATCAGTGCAGTGCTAAGAATAACATTTGTCTCTAATCCATTTTCGCAGACGTAATTGTGTATTTCTCTTCCAAGCTCAAGAGCCCCTAAGTTGGCGCATGAGGACAGCACTCCCACTAGCGTGACCTCGTTAGGCTCCACATCCTCGCCCCCCATCTCCCGAAACAAGGAGATCGCTTCGTTAGGCAAACCACATTGGCTATATCCTGTGACCATAGCATTCCAAGATACTAAGTTCCTAAAAGGCATCTCATCAAAGACTTTACGAGCCTTTATGATATCTCCGCATTTCGCAAACATATCGATTAGACTAGTGTTCAATACGATGCTCGAAGCCACCTTGTTAATGTCAATTACACAAGAGACCCACCTCCCCGCCTCCAAATCACATAAACTAGAGCATGCAGAAAGAAGACTCACCATGGTGGCAGTGTTGGGATCTGGCCCCTCAACCGATAAAATCATCCTTTTAAAGGTTTCAAGAGCTTCTTTTATGTTTCCAGCCCGACAATAGCCACCAATCAGAGAAGTCCAAGAAATAACATTCCTCTCAGGCATTTCACTGAACAAGTGGGAGGCACACGACAAATCTCCCATCTTCGCATACCCATGAATCATCGAATTGTACGAGACCTGGTCTTTCACAGGCATTTCCTCAAAAACTCGATGAGCATCAACAATGCAATCGCACTTTGAGTACATGTCAACCAGCGCATTCCCGGTGAAAATATCGGAAACTAAGCCAAGCTTCGCAACTTGGGTGTGGACTTGTTGGCCAAGGATGGCAGCCGGGATTCGAGAGCACGCATTCAGGAGGGGAGGGAAGGTGAAATTGGTGGGTTTTACATCATTCTTTAGCATTTGAATGAAGAGAGAGAAAGCATATGGAAGAGGACCATGGGTGGCATAGCTTTTGATCATGAGTGTCCATGAATAATCGTTGTTTTGAGGGATTAGATCGAAGACGATGCTGGAATAGTCTGTACAGTTGAATTGGATGAGTTTTGTAAGGAAGAAATTGTTGAGAGGGATAGAGTGGATGAGGAATTGGGTGTGAATTTGGTGTATTTGTCTGAGAGAAGTGGAGCTTCTTAAAAGACTGAATAAGTAAGGTGGTGTGGCAGCGGTCATTCTAAGACATCCTGCTTTCAAAAACTCTAGAGAGAGAGCGCTTTAACGCTCAAAACCTAGAGAGAGAGAGAGAGAGAGAGAGAGAGGCACTTCCTCGTCTGGTAGGGGTGGCAACCGAACCGGTCGGGTCGGGCTCAGGTACTCGTATGGAAGCCAAACCCAAATCCAACCTAAAAAATTAAAGTACCTAAATATTTAAATAGAAAGTCATCATGCAACACGTCTACGACGATACAAATGAATAATATTTTCGCCCAAAAGCTCGACGCCGTCCGATTATTTTAGACGGCGTATATAAATTGCATTCAAATAATGTGGAAAACTGTAACGATTTTACAAGAGCCATTGCGCTTTTTCAAACTAATGGCTTTGTGAAGGGAAACGCTATTCATTTTCGTCGATAGGGTTTTTAATACTTTTTCATTTAGATATATTTTATGTATTGAAACTTAAAAAATACTACCACACCTTGATCAAAACCGTGGGTTCCAAATTTTGGACCCATACTCATAGCTCTATACCTCGGATCTCGGGTCAGGTCCAAGTCCATTACCACCGTTCTCGCACGAGTCACGTTTGATATTGAAAAACTCAAAATAAAATTTGTAAAAAATAACAAAAATACCCCTCGTGGTGTGATGTTTAAATATAGGGAAATGATCAATCAAATCGATAAAAAACACTTCAAATGTTATATCGGCAATTTTACCGATTACTGCTCAAAAATCTTTTTGTAGGTCTACAAGATTTTTGTTTAAAAAAAGTCTAATGGATGCCATTTCTGGAAAGGCCTGGTTTTTTTTGTTTTTGTTTTTTTTTTAAAAAAAAAAAAGAAGTAAAGCTTCACCTCAAAACTCAATCTAGAGAACACTCCCTATCCCTATGATAGCTTTCAAATTTTTATTTCACCATCAATTATGAAATTTGTACCTCAAAAAATAATACAGATCTCGCATATCTATGAACAATTGAAAATAGATTATTTGAATGATACATTACAATACATACTATTTTTAGGTTTTGAAAATTCTTTTTTTACATCTATAGTAGTCAAGGTCAAGAACATCAATTTGAAAGTTTTACAACACCAAAACTGCAATTTTACAAGAGATTTGAGATGCAGCTTTATGATTTCTCATGAGGCCGAGGATTCTTTTAACCTTTTCCAAATTTAAATTCCCCTTCTTGTTCCAATTCAAATTCAACAAATACAAGAAAAATGGTTGAGGCAAGGCTTTAAGGGAAAAAATAAAGGCTCGCGTCCAAACTCATCAAAAATTATAGTTTCGTCGACATGGGGAAACCTTCAAATCGATCATCTCAACCTTGATTATTGTAGTTGTGAAAAAATTAGAATTTTAAACCCTAAAAATAATGTACATTGTAATATATTATCCAGACCTTTTATTTTATAGTGTTCATGAATCCATAAAATCTGTACCATTTTTTTAGCTACAAATTTCATAATCGGTGGAAAAATATTTCATAAGGTATTCCCGTGCCCAAAATATTTCCCAACTAGTGAGGCTCTACTTTTTATGCCATTATAGAACTGCAACCAAAATATACTTCCATTAAAAATCTTATTCCAAATTTAGAACCTAGATTAAGCATAGGCGTAATAGACATATGGCTCATTGAAGTGACCTTGGCCAATAGACATAAATACCCTTGGTTGTTCCTTATTCCAAACCCGAATCATACCTTTTTAATGATTTTCCTTATTCCAAACCTAAAACAAACCTCTTTTAGTGAAAATCATGATCTTTGAGTTTAGAACTCATCCAAGCGAGGGTATCGACGTCCTTTGGCTTGAGTGATCAAATTATCAAAAGAGTGCGGTTTGTATAAGGCCGAGGCGCTAAACAATCCAAGTAGGGCGCACCTTCAAATGGTGCCGAAATATGTTGTTTTAATACAAAAATCTTTATGATGGCTTGAAATTTTATTTTCATCTCTAATTATAAAATTGAAGTTAAAAAATAGTATAGACCGAGTAGATCTATGAACACTTGAAAATCTTGATAATTGACAATCAAGATAATACATTTCAAGATGTACTATTTTCAAGACTTGAAATCTATTTTTTCTCATGTCCATACATCTTGAGGTTAAGATGATCGAATCAAGGATTTTTCATCATCAAAATAGCATTAACTAATGAATTTTAAAGGCAAAAAAGTAAACAAACAAATGCAAGCAAAGAGATGATCGAGTCAAGGGTTTTTCATCATCAAAATAACATTAACTACTGAATTTTAGAAGGTAAAAAAGCAAACAAACAAATGCAAACAAAAAAACAGATGCGCAAAAGCACTTCTTTTACACTAGGCTAGCTATTGCTTCTTGCAAGAAAACGGATGCGTGGTAACACAATGGCTTTCGCACTAAGCAAACCATTGCTTGTTGCAAAAAAACGAATACATGCTAATACAACAGCTTTTGCACCTTAATTTGATTGTTTAGGGCCTCACCCTTAAATAAAATTGTAATTCTGTTGTTGTTGACTTTTTTAGCACATCCTTTTCTTTACTTTTTTTTTAGTTTTTTATCGGGTAGGTATATAAACATCTCACAAGGCTGGCCCTATTCAGCTCGGTCTGTCCCTTTTTTCCTTGGATTGTGTTTGGCCCAGTCCATGTAAGGCTAGGCCAAGCTTGTGTCTGCCCTATAGGGACCAAGCGGGCCTAGGACTAAAGCTGGTTAGGCCTGTTGCCAGCCCTATTCCTAGCCACCATATATTTCAAGATCCTAAAAATGGTATGGTCTCTCTATTAGGGTGTGGAGGGGTAAGAATCAAATCCATTTGAACCAACTAGCGTCAAGGTTTGGACTTGTAGGGCCTAGGTCCACTTGACCTAGACAAGATTTGGTTTGGGTCCTTGTCCAGCCCTCACTTAACCAGGCCAGGTCAGGTGTGGTTCAAGGATGACCCAATCTAGAGCATACGTGTGCATTTCTATGGTTTCTTGTGGGTGTCGACATAATAAGAACACAACATATTTAAAAAACCTAGATAGTTCTTTTTAACATTTCTCTTAAAGATCTTCCAAAAAAAAGTACTTAATATCACTTAAAAAATCCCACCAGCCCCTTTTTTTTAAAAAGTCTACCAAAATATCATATCGGAAAGACCAAAGTTAGGATTGGCTTTTGTGACATTTGTACTCATGTTAGATGGCGCACGCGTATCCATGTGTTTGACCAAAATTGTTCCAAGTCCACCATGGACCTTGTTGAGTAGGGGTCAACCGGATCTGAACCCAACTTGTTCACACCCTTGGGTATGGGGTCGCAAAATCCTTTCAAGGATGTTACTAGTGTTGCTTATCACTCAACTAGTACCCACTAAAAAAAACAGGCCAATAACTACAAGAAAAGCTTGTATA